ACAGACTATCAGTTCTGTATACTCATGCAGTAAGAAGCCGAGTATTTAAAAAATAAATTTGAATTAAATTAAAACAATACAAAAGAAAGTTAACACTTTGGTTTTTATTTGCAAAATGAACTCTATTCTTTCCTGAAAGTATTTTGTGGCCTAGAAACTTTGATTGCATTACTTTAAGAATTCCATAGTGAAAGAACTGCTACAGTAATAAATCCAAGTGAGGAAAAATGCACTCTGTATCATAAACAATACCTTGATTTTATTAAGGTGGGGTTATTTTTGTTGTTTTGGGCTTTTTTTTTACCAATCTGTTGTTCATCATACTTACAGCACTAACATTTGCACTTGTAGCCAAAACAGGTAGCAGTACTCCCATTTTTTGCTGATAAAATAATTTATAATAATTTAACCTAGTAAATACAAAGAAATAAAGATAAAATATTTTTTGACAATCCTGCATTTTACTTTTGGAGTTGTAACTTCTAGCTAGCAATTCACTCTCTGCAAAAAATAAAATAATATTCTGCACTTGGCTGCAACTTTTGTGTAAGTGCAAGCAACAACTGCAGTATTTTTTTAGATGAGACACACTGATAGCTTTGCACTTCCTTGAGGCCTCTTCTCTTCTCGCTGAATGAACTCCAGGGAATGGCATCATGTCGGGCTTTCCAGATGGATTATGTGAAGCCATAGCTCAATGTCATTTTCAATAGCAAGGCTCATAATTAAAGGTCAAATAGTCACTTCATCTGCAATCAATCAATAGAAGAAGTACTAATACTAAGTACTAATCAATCAATGGCAAACGCACTAATAAAAGCCATGCATCAAATGTCCGCATATGTGTGTGCTCACATGTACGGTGCATATATGTGAGCAGGGGGAAGGAGAGAAAGAGAACAAAGTGTGGGTGAATATGCCAGAGGGCATTGTGAATACTATATTTATCTTTGCTCCTTGTAAGTTTATATCCTGTTTCACTCATTAAATGACATACAAATAAACATTAGTTTTTCTACAAATGTGATGCACTGTATTAATAAAACCGCTAAAGCACCCACCTCTATATAGAAATACCAGCTTGTGTTCCTAACTAAGAAACACAAAGGCACCTACCCTGTGTAATTTGTCCTTACACAAACATGCCCTGCACTCTGATCTTTGAGACAAAAAGTGTGTCAACTGTTCTGTCTACAAAATAAAACCCAGCATATGGGAACAGCACTCATCTCCGTGCAGAGCAAGCACTTATTCATGGATTCAACAGTGGAAGTGGCAGTTGGCCTCATGAGCATGCACTGCATGGGAATTAGTTGGTTTCATAATATGGTGTGGGAGAAAGTGACTTATAAAAGTCTTCTCATGCCTCTCCTATTACCACTTCTAAAGCTTTAAAGCTGTCAGCTCTTCTCCCACTTTAGTCGGTGCCATTTTAAGCTCCCCAGGGAATGGGCCAGACATACCTATTTGGAGTTTCACCTGCCAAGCTGAGAGAAATCAGTTTCAAAGCGAAAGAACAAGTGTTGGGGGGTCATTTATACACTACCACTGGAATCTTGAAGACAAACAAAGCAGAGCTCCACAACGCATGGGAAACCAGACCCTGAGCTGTTTGTGCTTTCAGGCATTGTAATGACAGGGAGAGGGAAAAACTCTCTCTGCTACAAGAGAACAGAAGGTTTCTCATTGCATGGTTTATAGTAAACACCTCTGGACAAGTAGAAATGTGACAGAACAACAAAAGAGTAAGGGCCAAAATGCCAATGTCTGGTCCTGTTTCTGCTAAGGTCAGTGTGGACAAGACTGTGCTGTGGATAGATTTAACTGTCATTCAGAAATGGCTGATCCTTGAAAACAAATTAGATCTACTCTGCTTCCACCTTCAGGGAGGGAATAAATGCTAGCTGCTCTGGTTAACATTCCTGTTTACATCGTCAGCTCAGGGGTACGCCTCATCACACTACAGCTTTATAAAACTCAATCCTCCCTATTTACATAGAAATGTTTATGCAGCTCCATCTTATCTGGACCTGGTACTAATACTGAACAGAGTAAAATACCAGTGGTCTCAAAACCAGCCAGCTTGAAACTGATACACAGCAGGCACACCTGCACAGGGCACACACTCTGTGAGGGGCACACAAAAGCAGCAGGGCCCCCAGGCTTACCAAAGATGGGTTCCATGGAACTGCCAAAAAGAGCATTTCCCCATCAGGGCTGGTCCTCAATTCAGGACATGCTGATGCTGGCCCCATGCAAGACAAGCCTGGGAGCTTCGAAAAGAAACCTTGGCAAAGCTGAGCCCCAGAGATGGAATACAGCAAGGGAAGCACAGGTCCCAGCCACCCAGCGATCTCAACACAGGCCCTGAGCAGTAAGAAAAGGGAGTGTCAAAGTGTAAAGCCTAAGAATGAATTACACCTTGTGACTAGCCTCCTAGGAGATGAACTTGCTTGCCATGAGACACTGGCTCTTCAGCGATGAAGGTAGTCTGTCCTGAAGCTGACAAATGGAACAGCCTGTAGCCAAGAAGCAATGCCACAATACTGCATTCCACCATCTGCCTGTTTCATCTCAACTTGCATGTTTATCCATCAGACATCTGTATTTGCAGAGTAAAAGTATGTATGGCTGGGGAGAAGCTCTAGAAGTCCTTGAAGCTGAGGTGGCCAAAGTACTTTTATTGGTGTGCTTGGGCAAAGCAAGCTGCAAAATTCGAGGCCTGATGTATTATCCTGTGCTAGTGAGAGCAGTAACGGGGAATTGGGAAAACGTGAGTCAAAAAGTCAAGCAAGCTAGGAACCTCAAACTAGGTTCTTCTAAAGGAGAAATGGAAATATAAAAAGGAGAGCGTACTAGCAGAAGAAAAGTGAACCGACACAGCTGTGTAATAGGGTGCAGGTACTAGACAGGCTGCATGAGAATGCCTGATAAAGTGGGTAAAAGAAATGAAGAGTTCTCCTTTTATTCTGGGTGATGGCAAGCCCCTCTAGGGCTTAATTATTAGAAAAAGGCTTTGTGCTTATTTTCTTAGTGCCTTGGCAAGCTGCAGAAGATTCAACAGAGCATATATAAAACTCTTTTCACTGGGGAGGGAAGGGAAGACTTACACATTTGTGCTGTTAAATACAATCAGCTTCTCTTCTGTAGTATCACAGTTGTGGCTTAAGTTTATGTGCACCTCCAAATAGTAAGTACAGTAGTGTGTTATGACTTTAGTGTGTCATAAATACAAGTGTAACTATCCTCCTAAACACAAGCTCATTTATTAGTTGAAGCTTCAGTTTCATAGAAAACATTTGGCTGAAAAAGACCTAATGTCATTTATTCTATGTTCTGCTCCAAGGCAGGACCAACTCTAGCTATCTCCTGTCTGAGGCTTGTCTACAATGACAGGAGATTCGGGACATCAATAGGCAACATATTCTAAAGCTAAAATGTTTTATATTAGGCAAGTTTCCCCGATTGTTAGCTTAAATCATCATCATTGTAACAAAGTCCTTCCTTTTTCAAAGTCCGCTATGAAAGATTTACTTTTTTCCTTCCTTGCATCAACCTTTTATGCATTTGAAGATCACTACTGTATTTCAGCTGTCTTCTCTCAACAATCCCAATTGTTTTAACCTTCCTCCGGGGTCACATTTTTGAGATCTATGATCATTCATGGCACTCTCCTCCGATCTCTTTCCAGTTGGGCCTCATAATTTTTGATTTGTGAAGCCCAAAACATCATGCAAATGTCAAAAGCCATAAGGCTCTCAAGCCATACAACTTCTGCTACTTCTCTGCAACCCACAGGAGCTTGTGTGAAAGGAAATTAGATTAGTTTGGTATGATATACATTTGACAAATCTACAGGGCTGTTACTCATTTCCTTGTTTCTTCCTACACTGTTAAAATTATTTATTTATTTATTTGTTTCAGTAGTTTTCTACAAAATGAAGTTAAACTCACTGATCTATAATTCCTTGTCCCCTCCTCGTTTCCACTGTGAAAAAGAGGCATTATGTTTGCCTTTTTCTTGTCTTCCAGGAACTCCTTCACTTCCCACAGACTTTCAAGGGCACTTGCTAACAGTTCTGCAGCACAGGCCTGGCTGAAGCAAAGAACCCTGAGATGAGTTTTGCTATATCAAACTGACTTGGAAAACATCTCACCTAAGTCCTGACTTGTTCTCCCCCTGTTTCAGGCTGAGTTCTTACCTTTGTTATTGACACTAGCTGTGTTTCTCTTTGACAGATACAGTCTTGAAAAGTCGTCTATTCAGTCACATATGCTTTATCTAACACATGTTTTCATATTTTGAAAAACAGAAAATATTAAAGTACCAGTTGTTTCGCTGGCTGAACATAATGGATGAAGCAGTAGCAAGTGGCTGTAAGCATAACTGATTTAGCAGTATTTTATGAATTTCCATCAGAACATCTTATTATCACTAAGGGATCATAAGTGACAAATATCTCAATGATGTTTTGATAAATGAATTAATGAAAACTATCCAAAGTATCTGCAGACTTAAAACAAACACATACATTTAGCTCATGTTAAGCAAAAGACAGTATTGTCTATTTGTGGTTTCTGAATACACTATGTGCTTTGATTTTCACTTGTACATCCCAGCTTTTAGGTGTAAGATTTCACTGTGGGACTGGGCAGATCTACTTTACAATCTTTTCAGTAACAAACCTGAAATTTTATCAATATTGGATTAGGCAACAGAACAGAATAAGAACAGAAAGAAAAATGCAGCTTTCCATAAATAAAATGGTCTTACTCTATAACCACTAAATTCTCATCTGAGAAGACTGTGTTTTCTATCCTGTAATAAATATTTATTTTATTTGTGGAAGAATATTATCCTACTATTAGTATCATACTGGTAGCATTACTTGTCACATTAAAACCAAAACATTTAAGCAGAAAAGCCAGCAATCAACAACATTTTTTTTCAGCACAGCACAGTATGAATGCTTTGCTCAAAAGCTTATCTTCTGACTTACCTAGGGTGAGGGATTTGTGTGTGGAACAGAAAATGATAGCCACTGTGTCTGCTGGTGTGAAACTAGAGTTATTCCTAGAAAAGAAAGAGTTTTAATAACCTCTGATAGCAAAAACCTTCTTAAAACATCATCAATCAAATATATTACTCTGAGGATCCATATGCACATTCACATCACTTTGATCAGGTCTAGTGACAGAAATAATTCTACCCACAAATGAACAGTAGTTTGATTTTTTTTTTTTTTTTTAAAGAAGAATTGTTTCTCAGTTGTGGCAAACTCTCTAATGAATACACTCCCATGTGAAGGAAAGGAATTCTGAACACATGGTATGTAGAACACAACTTTATTCCAGCTGAGGTTATTTTTGCAAACATGTTCTATCACAGCAGTGGTCAGCTTGCCTCTAAAAAAAGAGAATGACCTACAATTTATTTTCATAGTATGCAATGTTAACAAAATGCTTGATTTAGGTAGTATTGAGTCTACACTATAAGCACTGCTTAGAATATGTAGTTATCTTCCACTTCAGAGAAAAACTGCATCTAAGTGTTTACACACTGGGACTTAAGGCCAGGAAGGGTGGAAAAATAACATACAGAGACATATGAATGGCAAATGGATCACCCTTTGGTCTAAATTAGGAATCATTTGAGGAGATTCTAAATATTTACCATACTGTCCAAGTTGGTTACTACTTACAGCATTTTAGATTTTACAGCTGGGACATACCTTTGCCTCTGGTTAGGTCTAGCAGTTCAAAAGTTATTTTAAAATGTCTTCTAAGGTCAGGGCATGATCTTGCCACAGAAAGCTTTCTTGTGGCACCAAAAAAGCATAAGTAGCTCTAAGACGTTGCACCCTTCTTTGTGATTCTCCCTTACAGATAGTGTATAATTTATATAAAGCATATATTTACAGTGTGAAGTCTGCTGTATCATGGCACTTCCCATTCAGCAGTGTTGCTAAAGAAAATACTCCTGTAAGCCTAAGGAAGAGGACAATAGTGGATACTCTGACCAGGTGAAGTAATGCACTAAGCCATGGGCTAACACCATTCTCATGGTACTATTTTTTGAGAGGTGAATTTACAACTGTTCTTCCTGGTTGATATTTAAAAAGAAAAAAAACAGCTCTACCAAACATTAGTTCAGGACAATTGTCTTTTAAGAATCACCATATAAACGTAACAAATTTGACATATACAGGGAAGAGTGAATTGCCAGCCCAGCAAATGTATCTTGAGATGTAAAAAGTCAAACTGAGTTCTCTCTCTCATATGTCATCAGCATGTCTGCAGGGCAAATTATACCTTCAGTAACATCTGTGCAAATCCATTTTTTTCAGTGGCTGAGGTATAGCAGTGATTGATTGAGATTTAACAACTCTGTAATTAACACACAAGAAAGGACAGAATTCAGGTCCTGCTCTCTTAGCCTATGAAACTCTAACAGAGAAAATGCAGTAAGAACAATATGAAACACCAAAATGAGGTCACCCCTATTCAGAAACTTGCCCTTACACATTTGCATAAACTGTATCACCCAAACCAAAGATATTACACCAAACAAATATCCAAAGGTTCTGATTCAGTACATTCAATTACCTTGTAGAGAAGAGGAAAGTCAAAAACATGAAGCTCATCTGAACAGAAAATACTGGAAGAGAAAAAAGGTAAAATTGGATTTAAATCACAGAAGTAAAGATCACTTAAATCTCTTCAATTGCTGTCTACATGCCTTTTGCCCCCACATGACAGATCAGAAGCTAAGCTGGACCAAGTCTATCCAGCGAGATCCAATGACAGACAACCTTTAAAGACTGTTTGGAAGAACAATACATATCATTACATCCAAGAAAGCTAGAGCTGGTACTGTGGCTACACAAGTTCTTTCCGAGGTAACTCCTCTGAATCAAGTATTTCTTGACACGATGAATGGCAGGAAAGTTCACTACTGCATGCTGCACATCTATTTGTACTAGTTTTGCTTATTGGGTTCAAAACACAAAATTTCTCAGACATGCTTTGGTTGCCGAGTATTTAAATTTAGCCCTTTTCTATTTAACAGGAGAAGGTACAATGTGTAAGCATGATCACAATAAATATTCTCACACACTGGGTATATTACTCTCCCAATAAATGAATATTAAGAGAAGTTCACCATGGATGTTTTAATTCCTGAATGGGGCAGCATACATCAATGTGGTGATTTGACCTTGGCTAAATGGCAGGTACCCACCAAGTCACTCTATCACTTCCCCTCCTTTCCCCTTGTTTTCTCAACAGGGCAAAGAGGGGAAAGAAAAGAAGATAGACCAACCCTTGTGGGTAAAACAAAAGCAGTTCTAATACAAGCAAAGCGAAGCAAAGGTCCGCGTGCGGAAGAAAAATAAAAACAACCTATGGATTCATTCTGTACTTCCCATGAGCAGGCGCTGTCGGGCCTTCTCAGGATCAGGGCTCCCATAGGCGGAGTGGTTGCCTCGGAGGACCAAGGGTGACCCCAGCCCTTCCTCCTTTCTCCCAGCTTTATACTGAGCAGACGTCACATGGGCTGGAATGTCCCTTTGGGCAGTTGGGGTCAGCTGTCCTGGCTGTGTCCCCTCCCAAGATCTTGCCCACCCCATCCCACTGGGGGGAAATGCTGGAAAGAGCCTCGGTGCTGCGTAAGCACGGCTCAGCAGTAGCCGCGACACCAGGGGGCTACCAACACCCTGCCAGCTCCCAGCATAAACCACAGCACCATGGGGGCTGCTACAGGGGAAAACCAATTCCGGCTCAGCCAGACCCAGTACAATCAGACAGAGCAGCTTTCATTCAGGCTCACTCAGCTTTGTAAGTGCGGATGGTTTTTGAGCATCCTGAGGGGAGCTCTCCTCTCTGCCAGATCACCCGACACCCGCAGGGGTTGTGGCGTGCACAGAGTCCACCCTTGGTTTGCGGAGATGTGGGGAGAAGCGGGCGGCTTCCCCACTGTGCCGTGAGTAGCTGCTAGAGCTATAGAGGTCGAGTATTGTGCTGGAGCACAGGAACTCCCCTCAGAGCTGGAGAAGAAACGCTGTGACCTGCACAGACCTTCTCTGGGTGTTTGTCGGTTATGGGGCTTTTACTTGCAGCAGAATATGAGGTGGGTCCTCTCCCTTTTCCTTGCAAAACTTGTAAATGCAGTAAGGCTAATGTGTCCCATAGGGTAGTGCAAATCAAGACAATACATTTGATTTTGACTCCAGTTTAGAACTGGGAAACATGGCAGGGATATTAGCTATTACCAGTGACATTTTCCATTCTCTTACATACATTTCCTAGGAAGTATAAATGTCACCTCAGCATGCACTTAATTCTTCCTTCATGAACTAAGGAAGCAATCCATTGTTCTTGAATTACAATTTTTCTGCAAGTAAGTACATTAATTTAATATGCACAGAAAAAAAAATCCCTTAATACGTATAATTCTGTAAAGCGATAAGCATGGGTTGCTACCAATTATCCCTTGTGCATATTTTGCTGTGGCTAGAATATTAACATAAAAACATTAATCATCAGAATAATAAATGCAGTTTCATCTCAAACTCCTTGTGCTAATTTGACATCCTGGTATAACACAATGCACACATCCAGCCAACATATCCAGTGGCGGTACAGAAACTTTGTAATACAGTGTGCATATCCATCTCCACATTACCTTTGTGGGGGTTTTTTTGTTTTGTTTTGTTTTGTTTTGTTTAATATAAATATTTTTTAAAAAAATGAATGTCGAATATGTTCCAAGTGGTTTCAATGATTATGTTAATATTCATACTAATAAACTCCAGTTATGCACACTGGCCATGAAAATGTATATATAATGATTGTCAGTGTATTGCACTGCAAGTGGTACATATAATTACACATGGCACAAATGCAGAGTTGTCTCGCAGAGAAATAAAAGAAAGAACAAGAAAGGCAATGGAAGCAACCAGTCTGTATCAAGTGTTCAAGGAAGAACGTGCCTTTTTAACTAAAAAAGCAGCAGCCAGCACAGTAACATAAAATTACTTCATTCTGAGTTTCTCTGTTTGTTAAGTCAGAGTTGAAAATTTCCATATCCCTCTCTTTTGCTGACAACTCTGCACTGACTTAAGCGCATGTGGGATGTGGTCCTTCTCAGGTGCCTATGCGAACTCCATTTTGATAAAAAGCTCCTTACCATGGCTTCCTTTTTCTTTGCTTTCAGAATAAAGTATTTATACAGTAGCTTTTATAATTTTACACACATATAGTGTTTCATAATCCAAAAACCTGCCACAATTGGGATAGAATAAGAACTGACTCACAAAGGGCAGGGGCAAATTTCCTACTGACTTTAGTGGAGGTGGGATTTATAGAAGATACATTATTTTTATTAGACAGAAACATGTGCACATACACACACTTCAAGGTAGGTGATGTATTGATTTCTTGAAATCTAACAGTTTTAGAGTGTATGAGATGTGATTTATACTGTAGTATACTGTAGTTACCTCTCCCCCAAGCAAATTGAAACTCCTGGCTCTGGACAGTCTGAAGCAAGACAGAATTCCCTACTGGGAGAGGAGACAGTGCCTGTATACCACTGCCTTTCCCTGGGAGGTAGTGATCTGCAAGTGTGTTTTTAACTGATGGCAAGGATACCAGCAGTCTATTCTCATGTGTACGTTATTTATGGCTGAATGACTAGAGTGCTTCTAAAACAAACTCTGCAAGAAATGTGTTCATCCACAGAAATATATCAACATTCAAACTCCCAACTAGTTTCCAGGTTTATAATACAGTAAGGAAGAACTATTTAAAAGTCATAAACAGTGCTTCTGGTGTGCAGCTGAAACCCAGATCTTTCCTTTTTGTTTGGAATGCAATATCTGTGCATCTGTGGTTGCTTAATAACAAAGAAGCCAAACCAGAATGGTTGTAAACAGTTGGAAAGTAATACCATGCCCCTTTAGAAAGGAAGGGCCACTGAGCAATCTCAGGCATTCCTAAATAGCAGGGTTCATCCCTCTCTAAATGCTGACTCTCTCTAAATGCTCACTCAACCCCCTAAAAGCATCCAGCCCCTAAGAAGTCTGGTAATCTGATTTACCAGACGGATTAAAACTACAAATTCTAGCCCCATGCCAGTATCCCGCAGCCCCACCCTTTCCAGTACATACAGCTCATTGCACACCCAAAACACAGATAGAAGAGATGCTTTAAGGCTGAACTTACTTATGAACACTATTATAATCAAGCTAAATTTATCAAGGTCAATATTTGGATTGGCGAAAGTATCACAGAACGTTGTGTAAATGATCATCAGGAGCACACAGCTGCTGATAGCGCCAAATGGAGGCTTCTTCCTTTCAAGCCAGTCCTTGATGTATCTTCGGACAATCTGAAACACAGAAACCAACAGGTTGCCTCTTTTCAAAGATGCAGGGAGCCAAGTTGGGCATCACAAAGTGAATCTGACAGCGGAAAGACACAAAGAGAAGAGAGTAATTTGGATGACGGCCACAGTGGATTTCAAAGCTTCCCTGCCACACAACTCTTCTTCTGGGGAATTTAACATTTGTAGTGCAACTTCCACTGGGCGTCCATAATGAGAGTCTATTTTCAAGTACATTCAAATCCATCCTTAATCATGCCAAATGTTCTTTGCTAGCTGTCACTGAGACATGCCCATTAAGCCTCCCCAAAGTTTATCTCCTCTGCTGATACTAATGGATGTATGTAATTATCACAGTCCCCTTTGCATCAACAGACAATTCCAAGTGCAACTTTGGGAATCTTAAAAATCTGACATCTTCAGGAATTTCATGACGGTAGATAATCGAAAGTGATCCATGGAACATTTTAATATTTAAATAGCTAGCGATGCACCAGAAGTTTTTAATTAAATTATAACTCAAGCTTGAAAAGCAAAAGTGCATGTGTTGTGGGAGTTTAAATAATTCAAACTCTGAATATCTAGAGTTTTTGTAAATCCAAAGACAAATGCCATTTGCACGCTTTTAGAATACCAGAATTAACACATGAAAACAAGGAATCCTGCTGTACTTAGCGGAACTTTTGCACTTTCAGAAAACAAAATCTGAAATTGTTTTTCAAGAATTTTTAGAAACAACGATAAATTTTAAAGTAACTTCAACTTTCACATTATGCCAAATACTACAGGACTAAGCCTCAGCAGATACAATGCATCTATTTCAGCCGTGCCTAGGGAGTTGCTTTTAGTTTTTTTTTCTTTATATAGTTTGAAAAAACTTTTTAAAGCTTTTATCACACAGCTGCAACTTGTGTTAATTTTTCAGCAATCACATTATCTTGCCTAATTTCTCCTGAGACCTCCCGATGCTCTGTTACCGTGCTCTTTCAGAAATAATAGCAAGAGATCCTGAAACATTTCTACCAGAGGGCTCTAAAGGTGTCTCATTACCTTCCCATAGTGGTACCATTCATAAACATCACCACTATGGGTTTAATAATACAGAACATTTTAGAGGTGTTCAAGATTGATATCAAAGCAGCATCACCAATGCTATCATAGGACCTTTTCACACACTAACTGCCAAAACTATGGGATTGACCCCACAGCTGTCTGTTTTCCTCACTGCCTTCACAGTTTGTTTGCAAATCTCTCAATAGGGAAGTCCTAGAAGCAGCTATCCCACTCACCACAGCAAACAAACTTCATCGGCCGCATGGCAGGGCAATCCTAAAAATTTGGCACATGGGCTTCACGCAGAGCTAAGCAGGCTGAAGACCAGCACTTACCTCCCAGCGCTTCTAAGCTTCCCGCTGATGAACAATAATAGATTTACAGGAAACCATGGAAAGGAATGCTCAACACCCCAGTGAAAACACTCAAATTTCAAATTTCACACTTGTCAGACGTGAAAGAGGGAACACAACTCAGAGTATATGGGCAAACTTCTGAAAAAACATACAATGGAGCTCCTTCATCCACCTTATAAGCCACTGGGTAGGAAAAAGCCACAGCATTGACAAAAGAGAAGCAAGAAATCTGAGTGAAGACATTCAGTGCACAGTGTGAAAGACATCAAAAGGGAAGACCAGATTAGTCTAATCTGAGCAGATCTGGAACTTTGTAATTATTAGAAGCAAACCACAAAGTTTCTCATCTCTACAGTGAGTGTTTTCTATGGAAATTTAAAAAATATCCTATTATCCCCTAAATTAAGGTCACACCAGGAAAAAAGAAAAGCTACTTAAAACCACCTATTTATTTATGGTCCTTCCAGAAGATTTATACTGAAAGTAACAAGATGTTGAAAGAGAAAAGTGATAGTTAATTATGCCACAGGACAGCTTATACTGGAGATATTTATTATAAACACTATAGCCTTGTGTCTGTACAAGGTATAATTATAACATACATGACAATAACAACTTTATACATATATTTATCACGGACTGATATAAAAGAGAAAGAAAAAAACATTTAAAAAATGAAACTGCAAGCCACATTTCCTCAAAATTTTCACTCATCTGATATCTTCTTTAAATATCTACCTCTATCTAGTCTGGAATTATTATGAATCAACAAACATAAATACCAGTACAGCTTCCTGCAGCACACTGTATTTTTTTTTTTTAAAATGACATAGTCGTACCATGAAGAACTAAATTGTGGCTTGAGGAAATCTTCTAATCAACCCAGTGTCATGCTAAATGTATACTGTAAAACCACAAACAAAATACATGCTCTCTAAGACAGAATCCCATACGCTTTGATCTTCTCTCAAGGTTCAAGAAGATCTGTAATTTCAAAGGTTGCTTCAGCCTATGATCACTGATTCAAGGTAATCTAAATTCTTGTATAATTTAAGAGGGAAGAAATATAACCCTACAGGTTATCTGTAAATCTCAACTAGATTTTTCACAGGGAAGTTCATATCAGCTGATTCATTTTGACTGAAAAACAATCCATTTGTTACTTATTCATGCCCTGCAGAGTTGTTTCAGGACAAGGATGCTTTGAAAGCCTTTTAATTCTTAACCCAATTCTCTAACTTTTCAGGCTTAAATAGAACTTTAAAAAATTGTGAAGATTTGTAGTGAAATAATAATAGTGAAATAATAAAGTGAAATAAATCCCACAAATACAATAAAGACAACACACAATAAAGTACAGAGCCAGCCAGCCAACGAACCTTGTTGTTCTGTGGTGCTGGCACTCTCTGACAGAGCGTCTAACAGAGGTTGAAAAGCCACAAGCAACACAGATTGAAATGATTAAATAAAGAATCTCATAGGTAATTCGGAGCCTGGACAGAGATATTAAGCTTCATTTGTCTGCACACACAGCAAAAGCTAACAATCATTTTTAGCATGTTACGACCTGTACGAAGGATGCCAGATTCAGGCACCATACCCGTGTGCCACTTCTTAGTTAAAATAAGAGAGTCCAGTGTTTTGAAGTACATAGCAGCACAAAAGGGGACAAGGGAGGGACAAGCACCAGAGAAAAAAGCAGTTGAAAAAACGTCTGAACTGATACTCCTGTGAAAAGATGAACTGGGGTAGAAATACGGACATCCAGAATAGATGCATCAGACTGGCACACTGATGGAAAAAAAAACCAAAAAGGGGAGTACTCTTCAAATGCAGTAATTCAACAGTTCCTAGTGAAAGGGAATTCCTCACACACAAAAAAAATGCAATTAAAAATACCATCTTGCAGGGTGGTGTAGGGAGAGAGAGGCAGAGATGTTGGAAGAATAATCATGTGAAACATAAAAGCACTTTAAAATGTACTTTACAGAGGGAAATGCTGCAGGATGCTACATGTTGCAGAGAACATATGCCCAATTTTTAAGGTACAAATCTCAAGGTACAAAGACCTTGCAACCGTATCCCTGCTGAGACTCCTGCAGAATTACTTGTTGCAAGGAGGGCTTTGGGGCTGCTGGTCCTATGATAGTGATCACATTAAGTACAATGAACTGTAAAGATTTTTGTGCAGATTTAAATGCCAGCCTCAAAGAGCAGGGAATTCCTGATGGCTGATCTGGAGGTTGCACATGGAAGAACAGTGCATGGTGAATCCTTCCCTCAAACTGTGGTTTAGTGGAGAGAAGAGAGGAAAAGAAGCAAAACTTTGTAATATAACCTGCATGATGAAAGATGCCAAAAAGTTATATGATAAAAGAACATGAACATGTCCATCAAGCATGGTGACTGGTGACTACATTCCTGGTGACTACATTCTGGCAATCTCCAAAGGTTTTTGGAAAGGCATCAGCTCAAATTTGCTTCAAAACACAGTTACAGGCTCAAACTTTCTTCTTGCCCAGGATTTAATTTTTAACAATGAAGGAATGTAATTACACATGAATTAACAGTAGTGTTGCCTTTTCAATGCAGTTCTTCTACCAGAATGGTTACATCCAGAGTATTTTTCCTTCAGACTGCTCCATATCCTGCCATAACCTCTTGGTCTCAACATCAGCCTCCCTAAGCAAATGGGCTAACTGCTCATATGCTTAATTCATTTAACATCCCCTGTACAAAGAAACATGATCTGCTATTCCAGGAAAGCAAGTAAATAATGCTCATCATACACAAAAATAGCAGAAAACATACTCCAGAAAAACAACTCACTTATCTAATGGTACCTTCATAACAGTCATGCCATATACCCAGAGAAATTGGTCAGTAAAATAGATCAGGCAGGTGGAAACAGTCCAGCTGAAGTGCTGGACATACAAGATTAAAAAATGTAATAAACAATGTATCTCATTAATGTTCATTATTAATTGTAGGGCAAGGAGCTTCCTGCCCACCATGTATATGGAATGGTTTCTGACATATGTAATATAGTACATCTTTTGAAAACTATCTAGATCTTCAACTTAATTTTATTTTTTAAAAAAAAACATGAAATGAAAAAACAACAGGTGGAATGGTTATGAAGTCACCTTTTCTGTTTCCATTACACACATAAGAGCATCTCTTGGTATTTACATCTTTACTCAAAGTAGATTTTTCTTGGTTCTATAAACTCTTTGGGACTGATTTAATCTTTACAGAATACACAATTTTTTTTACACATTTCTGCTCCTCTTGTTTATTATGTATTAGTATGTATGTCTAAATAGCTGGAAAAAACACCTGGGGCTTTACCATTTCAACAAAGAAACACAAGTCACTTTTTCCTTATGTTGAAACACACAAGGAAAGAAGCTGAAACTATGCTGGATTATCACTATAACTAAATGCAGCAGTCACCTTATCTACTTTGTCTTTTAAGGTAAGATTCCTAACTCATTCTTAACTAAAATTATTACTACTTATAGTAACAGACCTTTTGCAATGAATGCAAAACTTTCTTTTGAAAAGCTTTCAGTCAGGCTAGATATTTGCCTTGAT